ATACTAAAGATTCCTATCATCCTTTTTTATTTCATCCCAATCTCTACTAGTGCATATTTAAACAGATAATAATGTTTACAAATGAATTCCTAATAGCATTACTAATAAAGCCAGGAAAAGTAGGATGTAGTTTTAGTTTAAATTGATCTGATGAAAAACTGTCAAGTCAAGTATTTATTTGGAATGCTAATGGAAGGAAGAGAAGGCTTGGTGGCTAGTGGGTTACGCCTTCAACTGCTAACCTGAAAGTCAGTGGTTCAAAACCCCCAGCTGCTGTGAGGGAGGAGGATGAGGCTTTTTTCCTCCCAAGAAGATTGACAACCTATAGGGGCACTACGAGTCAGAATCCATGCAATCCAAGTGAGTGAGTGAGTGAGTGAGTGAGTGAGTGAGTGAGTGAGTGAGTAGTGAGTTGAGTGAGTGGAAAGAGAAGTGAGAGCTGAATAATTACAAATGCCTTCATAGCTTTCGAATGTAGTAGTGTTTTGAAAAAGAAGTTGATTTTCTTCCTAATTATATTTTCTGCCTGACATTAATGATCTTGGGGACCTCTTGGTAGTTAGTTACCAATGTAGACAGGGGAGTCCATTTGAGACTGCAGATTTACCAATGATGATTTGCATGTGGATAACCTGACTGAACTTAAAAACTAAACCTTTCGGTGATCAATATCTCTTTAGGCATTCTGCAGATTAATATGAATGGATTAATTAATATGTTAAGATGAATATTAAGAAGTTCCTGGATGCTGAAAACAGTTAAGCACTCAACTACTAACCAGAGGGTTGGTGCTTTGAATCCACTCAGAGGCACCTTGGAAGACACCCTGGTCGCCAGCTTCCCTAAGGCACCCAGCCTTGAAAACCCCAGGGAGCAGTTCTGCTCTGCACACAGGGATCCCCAAGAGTGGGAATCAACTCAACAACAACTGGTTACTGGTTAACTGGTATCATGACATGACTGGTTAACTGGTTAACATGACGAGTCTCCTCCAACGCTGACATTGTTTCCCTGTCATAACATCATTAGGTCACAGGGTTAGGGCTGTGAGTTAGTTAATTGTGCCAGCCTGGCCGATAATCACATGTGGTGCTGGTTGAAAGGCAGAGGGATAAATGGGTGGTAAAGCCTCGCCTTTCTAGTTCTCGGGTCTCTTGTTTTGTGATGGCTGTATCGGGTGCAGCTGCCTTAGCAGTTCCCTGCTTCAGCTTGCAAGATTGACTTCCTCCAAGACATCCCCAAGGAGAAGCCGCATGGATCTATCCCAATGCAGCCCTGGGTGCTGGAGCAGCCGTGTGGAGACCCTTGCCAGTGCTGAGATGCTTACACGTTCACGGACTCAGCTTTCCTCCTGCAGTCGGCATCATTGCCTCTGTTTTGTGAGGTGGAGGACTTTGTGGACTGGTGTTGGGTTATGGGTTAATGTTGGACTTGTGGGCTTGGGCAGCATTGAGTTGGGATGTTTTCATGATGCACCTTTTCTTTACATAAAACTCTCTCTTATACGTGAGTCGCCATGGATTTGTTTCTCCAAAGTACCCAGACTAATACAGGCTGTCTTTTGAGAAGACTCTTTTTGACTCATCAGGAGATGTTAGTCTATATGCTCCCCTCATTTAAATGTGCGGTGAAATACAGAGCATGAAGAAATCATTAGAAATCCCTACATGTGTGCTTACTTTGTCACAAGAATGTTGTTTTAGAATAACCTCAGCCACCTTTTTATAAATTGTAGTTCTCACATTCAGGTTCTGTGGTAGGGCCCCCTAGGGGCCAAGGTATTTGTACTGAACTCACAGTAAGTGACTGTGGATTGGCTTTCTGATGACAAGTGTTCTGCCAGCCCAAATATTTTTTCCCAAACCTTTGATACAGCCTGTTTTATTTTATTGTTAGCATAGACGGCATTTGGTCACTATTTTCTAATTGTTTTCATTCCAACAAAATAGCAAAAGTTTTGAAAATAGACAAACACAAAATCACAGTTCATGCTACTCGTTGAACTTAGAAAACATATATGGGTGTGCCTAATTGATTTTATATCACATACATTTACTATGGTAATAGTTTCTACTGGTGAAGTCACCCCCCAAGTGCATGATTATAAGTATGTCAGGAGCTTTCCCCTAGAGAATGAAGGTTTTAAGGGACTTTGTCCTTTGGATTAAGTTTTTAAAACATTCATTGTATATTAGCATCTGTGTCAGGCCAAAAATTAAGGTACTCCAATGTATATTTTTATCTCTTAACCAAAGCAAAAATGTTTTCTGAACCAATCACTTCTTAGGGAAAATCATACGATTATTAAGAAGTAATTTGCCGATTTGCTAAATGGTCTGGTTTCTGACCTTGGTCTCTTCTACAGTTTCAGTACTGATAAAGTAGTATGCTGGAAAAAGGGACTATCCCAGTTCTTATACACAAAGTTGTTCCTAGGACTTCTTGTCTTGGATGCAACCCTATAATTGTGCAGAGTGGCGTAGTTGTCTGCAAGGAGAGTTTGCCAGGATACTTTGACAAAGAGAAACAATAGTATTCAATTTATGATTGAGGTATGGAGATTGTTAGCGTTATTACTAAAGGTCAGGACTATGTTCTCGGGGACCTTTTCCTCTCACTTATATCCCTGGCATTTGTTTCCTGTAAGGGGTACATGTGTGATGCTATGCCTTTTGCTCTTGCGGCTGTGACTCCAGTCTGGGTCTGATAACTGCATTAGCCATGTAAGTCTACAGAATGTAATTATTTCCTTTGCAACATTGAACCATTTGATAATCCTATATAATAAATAAAACTCTTCACCAGAGGAGACAGGTACTTTTGGATAATAAAAGGGTGCAGGGCTATAAGGCTTCTCCTCCCTCTTTTTCTTTGACAGTGTCTAAAGCCCAGAATTGGCGTCAAATCCATAAACCTGTGCTTAGTAGAAGCGAAAAACCATAAGCCTCAAATAGTTTAATTTCTCTGCTTTATGTGAGCCATCTTTTCATTAAATCACCAGAGTTCTGGTTATTTTTTTAGCTACACCTAGTAAAGTGCATGATATGACTGGGAGTCTTTGTCTGGACCTTGCACCTTGGACAAGTTGCAGAAGGCTCTGGTGTTACTATAAACTACACCTCAGTGGCTTCCCTAGCAATGCTGCATGTATTTGCTACTGTGACCACCTTACCATATCAAGAGAAAACGAGGCAGACGTCCCTATACTGTGTGCTATTAATGAATCCTATTTTAGTGCTTCTTACTTGAGTAGAGTTTATGATACCACTGAAGATACATGGAGGTGTTTCCCTTTGGTAACTTTCACAACCATTGTGCTGGTTGCCTGTGAAAATTTCCTCACGCATCAGTGGAAAATAGACCCCAGAAACTTCCGAGAAGTTGCCTCTTCTAGTCTTAACACATCGCTTTAATTTAAAATGCAGTTTTGTATAGTTTAAAAAATGCAAATTTCCATTAGGTTATCAGCTAACATTTTGTGATATTCTATTTAAGAAGTATACATATTGAGATCATTACATTTATTAAATATGTATTTGTTAAGGCTATATGATGATTAATAAAAGGGAATGTGATCTATCTTTTAAGATATTAAGAAAATAAACTCTACAGAACTGCATGGCTGCTTGGGCACTAATACAACTAGTCCAAAAATAAAGATGTTTGCTATTCTTTATTGAGTTGTTTTAGTTTAGGTTTAAAAACATTTAAATATACATTTCCTGGTAAATTAGATTATTCACAATTGGCTATTAAAGAGTACTAAAGAAATGGTATCCTTTTATAATTTTCCTTCTTATACATAATCATAGTCATATTTTTTTCTACTTGTATGATCTAGAATTTAATTTATTACTTATCTTTCATTTGTTTTCAGCTTTTTGCTTAGATTTACCTGACATATTTTATTATCCTATTTAAAGAAATAATATGTCTACATGAAGACATTATTGATGAGCTTCTAAAAAAAAATTAATAACAAAAATAAAACACTGATTTGCTACAAAATCTAACCAATATGACAAACAAATATAATGTATGCCTTTAAAACCACAGAGCAATCATTCTGGATCCGTAATTCAAATTATTGCTTTGATCAGATCAAATTGGATGCTGAGCTTCCCCCCCCCTTTCTTTTGCAACTAACTCCCAGAAGGCTTCCTTCACCCTAATGTTAAAGCAGACAAATAAATCTATACATCAGACTTAAAGCAAATGTTTTAAAGAGGAAAGGCATTAATTCAGAAGAGAAGTAATCAAATCACCTCCTCTCTTACATCTCGGACCTCTAGGCTGGTCTGAACACAGACCATTACCGGTGGTATTTCATGCTTCCTCCCTTTACTTCCATCCAAGTGGGTTCTTTATGTCTCTTCGTATGCGATGGCTGAGCCTTCACAGCAATTCTGGTTGCTATTGACAACTAACGCAGCCATGCAGGAAGAAAATGCTGTGGAAGGGAAGGTGAAAAAGCAAAACAAACCCTTAAGATCGCCTCCCTAAAATTGGAGAAAAAATTGACTGTACAGTATGTAAGAAACAGGTAAGTAAAGACATCCATTTAAAAATTCCTAGTCTTAGTAACTAATTAATTGAAAGTTTTACCTTTTTTTCCAGATGTTTTGCCCAACACTAATTTAAATAAAAGGATACTGTCTCTAGGACCCAAAAATTAATATTCTGAAAATGAAAAAATTGGATTGGAAGGTACAGTGTCACCAAAGGTCTGGGGAATTTTCATTTAGAATTTGCGTTACAGAAGAATAGTATAACTTCAATTATTGGTTAATATTTTTGTTACAAGTTGTTTTTTAATAACAAAATTGGTGACAAAATATTACTATTTTAAACATGTCCTAGATTTTTTTTTGTTTCAGAAAAGCACTGAAAGTTGAATATGTGTAAGTCTCCGGGAATGTAACAAGTTGATAAATCCCCAAGTCCAGCCTCCTTACCGAAAAAAAATCTGGAATTTCTTTTTTTGGACATTTGTTTTGCAGCTTTCTACGTCTTAAGGCAGAGACTAGCCAGGATAAGGTGCCAACTCAAAGGTTAGATGAACATATTTCTTGAAATAATTTTGGCTAATCGGTGTCTTCAAAGGCATAACTTCTGAATAACTTTCCAAACTCTAAGTAAAACTTAACACTAGTTGCGTTTTTGAGTTGCCTTTTGCTGGGGGCATTGGGTGGGAGCTGTAACCCTTCAAGCTATGCTTATTTTCTTCATAACTTTACTGTTAATTTTAATTGGATTTTTACATCAAACTTGTCTCTTTCAATATATAATTTCTTTCTCCTGTTTTATGAGTCTAATAAATTGACCTCCATCCTAATACAAATCACAGTTTATATTTTCAATACTTAAAAAAACAAATGTAAAAAACAAAACCCACCAAATGAAATTACTAACACCAGATTATGATTAACCTGAGGGAATTGTATCTCATATTAATTAAGTCTCCATGGAACAATTCAGGTAAGAAAGATTTTATTGTATAAAATACACAAGAAGTTTTACTAGAACCTGTGGGTATTGATGGCATTGTTTTGGTACATTAAAAGCATTACTTTAAAAAGACATCTTTCAATGTGAATAATGTTGATTAATAAATTCCCCTCATGACACTGTAGTGGACACTTTTAGTGATACTCTAAAATTGTATGGAATTGGTACCAAAAGACCAAAGTACTTTGAAATTGACTCATGAAAGACACTACTTCATGGCATAAATAATCGGTTTTTTGAGGTAGCATTTTAGTAAAAGCATTTGAGAACAAAATTTACTCTGTTAGGAACAGAAATTAAGCAATAGCTATATTTAGAGAAATAAAAAAGTTCAAGTATACATATCTTGTAATTATTACTAGCAGCTGACAAATTGATTGGCCGATGTGTAGCTGAGGTTAGGGAGACAGCAAATGTAGAGGCGAGTGGAATGTTTGATTCCACCAACACATCTGGACTGGGGACCTGTGGCTGTGGTCTATCAGCTGTGAGACACTGAACATTTTATTGGATATTTCGGAGCTACAATTTCTTCATCTTTAGACCTGCTTTGCAAGATTGGTGTTGGCCTTAACTAGAGTGCCTTTTGCAAACAGTTCTTGATTAAAACTCCTTATTATTAATGCCTGGGTTCAGCATTGGGCAGTATCTGAAAGATTGGTGATTTGAACTCTTCAGCCCCTTTGTGGGAGACAGATGTGGCAGTCTGTGTCTGTAAAGCTTTGTAGCCTTGGAAACCCTCTAGAGAGATTGCACTGTTCCCTGTGGGGTCCCTTTGAGTCAGAATTAATTCACAGTGGGTTAGGGGTTATTCTTATTGTTTTCTCGGTTTGCTGTTAATGTGTGGACAACACGTAGAATGCCAATGGAAAAGCTGGAGCATTGTTTCAGTTCAGTGTGCCAAATGATGAAAAACCCTGGTGGCTCTGCTTAGTAAGTAAGGGTTGCACTAGGAACTGCAAAATCAGCTGTTCAAAACCACCAGCCACTGCTCAGGAGGAAGAAGAGACAGTCTGCTCCTATCAGACGTACAGGTTCAGAGACCCCAAGGAGCACTTTTCCTCTGTCCTGTATCCAGGGTCTGTAGGAGTCACAGTCAACCCGATGGCTGTGAGTGATCACAGCATTAAGAGCCCTGGGTGTAAAGCGGGTTATGGTTTGGGCAGTTAACTGCAAGATGGGTAGTTCAGACTCACCAGCTGCTCACATGGAAAAGAGAGGAGGCTTGAAGACTTGGGGGTTCTAATCCACCAACTGCTGCATGGGAGAAACATGAGGCAGTCTGCTTTATTTACAGTCTTGGAAAATAGAGCAGTTTTATTCTCTCCTTTAGGGACCCTGGTGGCACAGTGTTTACAAGTTGGGCTGTGACCCAAAAGGCCAGCAGCTCACGACCCCTAGCTTCTCTTGGGGAGAAAGACAGGGCTTTTGGGGGAAACTCAAGGGGCAGTTCTCCCTGTCCCTAGTAGGCCAGCCTGAGCATGCATAGACCTGATGGAAAGTGTTGTGTTGTTTAATAGGGCTGCTATTAGTCACAATCGACTTGATGGCAGTATGTCTTTAAATAGATAGATTATTAACTAGGTATCTCTTTGCCAATATGTCATTTGGAAAGAACCGGTTGAAAGTAGTAAAACATTCAAATCATTCGTTTCTGGAAGAAAACTTCCAGTGGGTGCCGATCTGTCATTCTGAACCATTCTGTCTCGACTTCTCTGATTGTATGGCCTCTGAGCCTCAGAGTGGAGTACAGTTTGTTTACCCAGTAGTGTTTGCAGTTGGAAACGGATTTGGAAGAAAACAGAGTGGGTTTATAGAACTCTAGTTATTTAACAGACATGAGAGGCAAGGAGTAAAAGTTAGATTCTGGGAGCAATACAAGAAGGACTGAAAAATGGACCCTGATCCAGTGGTTGCCTGTTCTTCTATCCACGAAGGTGGAACGTGACAAAGGAAGCTACAGACTGGAGGGCACTTGGGGAAGCATCGTTCACTGCCAAGGAAGATAAGGGGAGATTTATGTATGCAGGAGCAAGAGCCTCAATTTGACGGCGTGGAGGGAGGGGGAGTAAATGTGTGAACTGCCACTCATGAAAGGTGAGGTGGGGAATTATAGATGGATTGACTTATGGAAGGTCGCTGATAGTATATGTAATAGGTTAAACTTTATCTAAAAGTTATAGATGAACATTGTAATATTTGAAGCAGGAAACCTACCTAATCAAATTACACCATAGAATGAATTATATTTCTTTGTGTTATGTTAGCAGCCTGCCAATGAAAAAGTTGCTGATTTGAACCCACTAGAGCAGTGGTTCTCAACCTGTGGTACGCGACCCAATTGGGGGTCGAACGACCCTTTCACAGGAGTCTCCTAAGACACTCGGAAATCACACATTTCCGATGGTCTTAGGAACTGAGACACTGCTCCTCTATCTGTCTCCAGGCTGGTCTGCCCACACGCAGATATGCCCACATATGAGAACCCAGCGTGAAGACTGTTACCCATGCTACACCATGCTTCAAGACAAAATTGCATTTATTTGTAATTAGAAATAAATACTTCACAATATATAATTACATATTGCTTTTATGATTTTCACTGTTTTAATTATGTTCAATTTATAACAGTGAAAATACATCCTACATATCAGATACTTACATTCCAATTCATAACAGTAGCAAAATTACAGTTACAAAGTAGCAACAAAAATAATTTTATGATTGGGGGTCACCACAACATGAGGAACTGCATTAGGAAGGTTGAGAATCCCTGAGTGGCTCAGTGGGAGACAGACCTGGTGATCTGCTTCCATAAAGGATACAGCCAAGAAAGCTCTATGGGGTAGTTCTTCTCTGTCACAGGTCACTATGAGTTGGAATTGACTCAATGGCACCTACCACCACCACC